GTCACGTGATCTCACTGACACAACAATATACAACAAATCAATAATTATAAAAATATTTATATATCATCAAATTTCCCTATTTGTCTTTTCTACTTTAATGCAGATAACTTACTATTAATAAAGTGATCACTGAAAACTTGGAAATTACAAATAAGGATCTTATGCTAAGTGTGTGCACTTAGCAATAATACTCTATAGAATTTTTATTAGTCTGCTAAAACTTTAAGGATGGGAAAGTTTTTTTTACAACAGCCAGCAACAAAGTTGAAATATGTGATAAGATGTGTAAATCTGGTGTTTCTCAAATTATAAGCATAATTTTGGAAAGATTTATTCATTTCATATTATTGTATCAAGCTCTTATTTTCATGGAAACCATTACTCATATTTTCATTGTCAGCTAACTATGTATTGTTTACACAAACCTGTATCGTTTGTTTATGTAATGAAAATTTAATTTCAACCGATGAATTTTCACCCTTACATTAGATTGGTAGTATGTATGCAAGACTGTTTTCTTGTAATTAAATAAGCAGTTTTCTTTCAAAGGGCTAGTATACCAAGTATATACTCCTTTTATTTTCTTCAGGTATTCAAGTCAAGAACTCATTCTTTAACTATATAATGTTTGTCTGATTATAATACATGTTTGTAAATTTCACAAAAGGTGAAATATGCATTAATAAGAAACTGTCTTTTCAAATTAATAAAAACCCATATACTTATACAATAGAAAAATCTAGAGAAAATGCATCATGAATTTTATATTTTGTTTGTACTTTTTGATCTAATTTTTCTGCAGGAAATGCTTCTATGGTCAACACATCAAATATTTCTTATTTTTTTGTTAATAATTATGATACATAGAAAACAGCAAGTTAGTGAAGAACATCTTACCTTCTTCCACACTGTACTGGAAATGAAACACATTTACAACAGTACATGGAAAACTATATTAAACATTTCCTGGAAGACCAGATGAACGTCATGACGTTACTCAACTCACTTTATATATCACTAATTTGATTTACTCCACCATTCCCAGTTTGCCCATCAAGAAGAAGGGTTTACTTTTTGAAAGCATAACAAAAAAAAAAGGGTTATAGGGTTGTTATCATTTTGTATCAAGACTTTTGAACTTATATATTTTTCTGACATCATGAATTACTTTCTTCCAGAATGTGTGGAGGGACAGTTTGGAGAACACTGTGACAACTCATGTCACTGTGAAGGAGGACATATAAACTGTGACAAGAATGGATTTTGTGTTCGAGGCTGTATGGCTGGGTGGACTGGATTTACTTGTCAGCAGGGTTAGTGTCTAGTCCAAAGGATATTGATTATATCATTTTATCTTTTAGGCTGTTTTTAACTTTTATTTATACACATCCAGTAAATAAACAAATCAGATACACTTTTATTTACTAGCACTTTACAACTTAGAGTATTTTATGTATTTCTGATTGAAAAGTAAATTTTTAAATGGAATTCTGAACTAATGTTTAGCTTTCATAACAAAACATTTTTTCTACTACAAGTAAATTCTTATTCATGAAAATGTATAGTTTTAATTATTTCACTTTTCTAATTTTGTTAAAATAACATTCTCCAAATATTTTGGTGATGATTAATAATCTCAGCAGGAAAATGCATAGAATATTTCAATTAATTTGTTTAAGCAAACTGTTTTTTAATTCAACAAAAACATTCTTTTCAGTTAAATGCAAAAATATTTGTACATCATTTATTTGTCATGTATATTAAACATGAATTTTGAAACAAGAGAATCAGACTTTATTCAGTCTAAATTAAACAAAAACAGCAATGAACCTAGCCACAATTTGAGGTGATTTAACTTAAAACTGTTCATTGTAAAAAACATTTGAGAATATTAGAGCAGACATAAATTAGAATTGAATATAGTAAACAATATATCTAAAAATATTGTAAATGTAGGGCATTAAAATTGTTTATTATAGTTATAGCACCCAACAATATTGGAACTGAGTAAACTTCCTAAGAAAATTAGTTAACAACATTAGAGGTGATATAAACAAAACATTGGAGATCTAGTGCTTGAGAATAATCTGTTGCAATGAAGCTTCTTAGTATACTGGAACCATAGATTTATGTGGTCTAATTTACAGCTTTTTTTATGTAGAAAATCACAAATACATTTTCAAATGTATGAATTTGCTCTGTTTTAAGATTCATGCAAAAACTTTTGAAATATATGTTGAGATTTTAAATTTCTAAACTTCATAATTTAGAATGTAACCTGGGACGATTTGGACCGAACTGTGCATACTCTTGCCACTGTAATGACGGTGCTAGTGTTTGTGACACTGTCACTGGAAACTGTAAAGGAGATTGTGAAGCAGGGTATGAGGGTAAAAACTGTCAAACATGTAAGTATAATGTCAATATAATTTAACTTTAAAGAACAAAGACTATTATCACATTTGCCCAGAGGAAGTGGCAGTAGAGGAAGTTTGCTGGAGCTGAAGTTACCCCAATATGTGTCTTAATCTTTCCTGCACCCAACAGAAAGTCCTTACTGTAAAAGCTGGTTCACTTCCTTAATACTATAGTGTGCATGCTCATAAGATGCAGAATATAACCCCTCAATTTTTTGTCTATCCTACCTCAGCCTCCTCACTGGGAACAGGTTGGCATCACCCCTGCATTTTTCAAGAATAAATTTAACCTTGCCCTTGTGGTACATCAAACAAGCATGCAAGTCATTGTGTGATGTTCTGTTTTCACAGTTGAACATTTTTTTCAAACTGAAACATTTAATATAATAATTTTTTACAGCTCATGGATTTTGATAGGTATATATATAATCTTTGGAAAATATTTGCCATTATCATTAGTAATCAGATATGAACTTGATATAGGTGTCAATTTACAGTACGAATATCATAAATTCGATAAACAAAAAATGACTTAGTTATGAGAAGATTATGTATTTAAAGAGACCATTAGAGTATGCAAACTAACATTATTTAATCATATTTTAACCATTTGATCCCTTTTGGTGAGTACAATTGCCTGGTGATTATCAAAGTTAAATTCACTCTATAAGGATGTAGATATTTGTAAAAGATTTAATGTGAACTTTGTTTATTCTTTTCTACTATAAAAAAATTCTTCTTTTGAAGTAAAAATCCATAAGCCCAACTCTTTAAAATTATTTTATTACGTAATTTGCAGCTATACAGCACAAAACAATTAAATGATAACTGTAGCATTATAGCTATGACAAAGCAGAATCATTGTTTTTAAGTTATATCAGTAGTCTTTTCAGTTTATTGTTATGAAATTGAAATGACCGATAAATTATCTTGTACTGTATGTTGTAGTCTCACAACAGTCCTGTTTCATATTGTTGCGTCAACAAGTCACATGACTAGTGTGACGCCACATTTCTAGAACTATCCTGTACCTTGGCGAATGCTCTAGCATTTACTAGATATAGGGTAGTCTGGTATATTAAAGAGGGTGACAACGTGACGGGACAATAATGTAATGTGTGTGTGGTAGATAGTGAGTAATTGAACTGCAGTCAGAAGTATTGTTGACGTTCGTTGATATAGCGTTTGTTTTAGCGCGATTGTTGAAAATAAGTGTATCGTAAAGTTATATTCGGAAATAATAAACCAGTTTTATTAAGTAAGGACTTGTGTCGCTAAAGTTTCGTCGGAACGAAGTTACTGAAAGTTAATTAACAAACAGAGACGTAACAGTAGCTTTCTTCTGCTTACCAGTCAATTTTTCACTGATGTTGATATGTTTCATCTCCACCCAGTGGCCCTAGGTCTAGAAGGTCTTTCTATCAGAAAGTCATTGTTTTCAGGTTCTGCATCTATGACAGCTACACTTGCCATGTCAATCTGTGCCTCAATAGCTGCAACCGTTAAGTCTTCTTTCCTCTTAAACAGATTGATATGATAGATCTTGGTCTTCCCATCAACTTTCATCTTATAGTCCATTCTTTTGACCATTTCCTGCACCTTGTTGGATATACTGTTTAGTGTAAGCGTTATTATTTAGTTTATTTTGTGACCTAATATTTAATGATTGTTTAGTTTTTATGACGAGAGTGTTGAAGGTTGGTTGTTTTAAAAGCGTTATGACAAATATTGTTATGTAACTCTGTATGAGCCGTACATTGTATATGTAGTTAAATTGTTGTACTAGGCTTTAGTAATATTGTTTACGTCACGCTACTCGAATATTCGCATATTTCTCGTTACCTTAATTGAATATTGTTCCAACATAGCATCGCTAGTGATGAATTCAAATTCGATGACGAGGAACCCACTTTGAGACTAATAATGGCTGGAGACGGCTTAAATGGGTAATGAAGAAAAACTTTAATATAAGTTTAACATGACCCATTTAAGCCGTCTCCAGCCATTAATAGCATCGCTAGTTTATAAAAATTTCGAGGCCTCAGTGAACGATATATATATATATATATATGTGACTGGCAAGCGCAAGTTAAGTAGAGAGAAGTCAAGTAAGAGATAAGAAGACAGATCTAGACTGAGTGATTGGCAGTTTATCCACGACTGGTGACTTATAAAAGAGTTTAGTCAGAAAAAAAAAGTTAGAAAACGTGTGAATGATTAGCCTTAATGGGTGATATATTTAATTGAATTTCACAGTTTAACAGAAATAAAGGGAATAATTTGTCTTGTCAAAGGGTGTTCTAAGGTAATTGAACCCGTCTGTGTGGACTTGAAAATGAAACAATTATTTGAAGTTCAGAATACAACTGTGGTAATCCACGGGGGAACGCGAGTGAATTATCCACTCATACTATTGCAATAGATGTAGGGAAAAATAATTCGTCTAGTCAATTGGATTTTAAAGTAATTGATTCATCCTGTGTGGACTCTTGACAAGAAAAGAGAATTGTTTAGAGTTTTAGATACAACTGTGATATCCTGTAGTGTAAAGAATTTTTGTACACATGATTGAGTTGTTTTGAATATATTATTTTAAAATAAGTGGATTGTGTGCTGTCCGTTTGTTATTCGCATTTATTGCCAACAAGTCATAGACACCTACTGTAAAAAATCCCAGCCCATATACATGAAACCCTGACAAACTTCAAAGAGGTCCTTTCCACTGCAGGGTGCATTGTTGTTGTTGTCTGTGGGTAGCAGAAATAAGACCTTCTGTCCAATTTTGAAACATCGATCCTTGGCCTTCTTGTAATATAAGTGCTTCTGACTGTCTTGAGCTGCATACAAACTCTAGTGAGCGAGTTAGGAGGTCTCTTCTAGTCGGTTTCTGAGGTCTAACGCGTACGGGTATGTGTTCTCACTTCTGACTCTTCTTTTTCTGTCCACAGCACTTTCAATATCGGCATCAGACCTCGTACTGTTCTTCTACATAGTAATTTGAAGGGTGAAAATCCTGTATTCGCTTGTGGGACTTCAGCAGGCACCTGTCCCAGTCACGTGGTCTTTCTTGGCACATCTTCTTCAGCATTAAACTTAAAATGAACAGTGGTGTATATGTAACATATATTTTAGAAGTATTGTGTACTTTGATAACTAAGGTTGTAAATTCAGTATGGAAATAATGCTCAAGTATTGGTTAAACACTTTTAAGCTTTGTAAGTAGTGGATAGATTTATTTCAGATTGGAATCATAAGTTTGTAATTTTGAACATTGTTAATGACCACTATCATATACATATAACAAACACATACAAAAAAGCATTTAATTTTTTGTGCGTATTTTAAGTAATTATTTGTAATTTTCAAGTTTCACACTTCTTTTTCAGTTAATGCAAATCTTGTTGTATATTACAATATAAAAGTTACAACCACAACCTAAATGGAATTTTTATTTTAATCTTTCTTTATATTAGTACAACATTCATTCTATATTAAAATAACGAAAAAAATTTATATCTATTACAAGAGAAAAAATACTTGTTAAATATGTTGACAACATATTGTATTTCTGATCTTCATTTTAGTAAAATAATACATTAAACTTTGGTAAACTCACTTCATATTTATATAAAAATAAAATGTTACCTAAAATATCTTAGAAATCACTTCACTCTCAAAGACTGAGTGGTGTTAATGAAATATAAAAGTAAAAAACAAACTCCAAATACTTTTTTTGTGACCAATAGAAAACCAATTTCCTATATTAATATTCACCTCACCATAGCCTACAAAACATTAACTTGACATTGAAAAGTTGTAGTAAGTTGTTTTAAGCAACTTATAATTTCATTCTAAGAATGACTTCATCAAACACAATTTGGTTTGCAGAATACATCATTCCAAAACAACTGTCCAACATTTTCTACAAAAATGAAATATCTATACACACCCCAATATCTTAATCATGTAAAAATAACTCTCTCATCATACTGTCTTATATTTAATTTCATAGAAATGATCCAGTCACCCTTATTACTTATATTAATATTCAAAGAAGCTCGGTGATGTCCATTTCTAAAAATTCTTTGTGTCGAGGCTCTTTTCTTGGACGACATAAAACAAAATTTTGGTTGCAATATCTGCTGTCAAAAAGGCCACACTATCATTATTATACATGCATATATTTTATAACTCATACAGAATGGATCAAATAAAGTATAATCAACAGAATAAAATATATCTAACAACAATGGAAGAATTAGCAATAATGAGAAGATAGTCAAATGGAGCAGATTAATATTATAACACTGCTTTATGTATTGCATCTCTGTCATTGGTATTTATATGCTACTACTGTTTATACAAGATGATTTTACTTTCCATCTTTTATATCATTTCATAACTGAAATTTAATTTTTTTTTCATATGTCTTTTAGCCACAAGCATAGCTAACTAAAATATAGATACCATAATTATTAGTTAATTTCCTAGATCATGTTTACTGTTATCACATAATTGACATAGTTAAAAATATCTTAAATGGTTTAAGAGCATTTAAAAAGCTACTATCAGTGGCATAATAAAAGATCTTAAAATGTATATACAAAGTGATGTAAACTTTGTGCACCATCATATTTCAAAGTCCTATTTTTACCACGTTTTGCATTTCAATATCTGTTTCTCTTTCTTTTGTTGCATTAATTAGTAGGGATATCATTAATCCTGCAAGAATATGTGGAGGTAATCCTGTAATCAGTGTCATGACATCAACAACATATATTTTGAACAGTTATAATGGCAGGAATTAGAAAAATCATGGTAGTGCATGACTTTGTCATCACTCACTCTTCATTACTGATTCAAAACTGCCTTTATTTATGTTCCAAGTAATGATTTCCTCAGTTTATGAATGGTTTGCTAGAAAAACAGCATCATAATAGTCTACAAAAAATGTTTGTTAATGTCTCCTATGGCATATCTAATGTATGAGCCATTCCTAACTGTCACACTATTTTAGATACAGATATAAAATTCTAAAATATATTGACAAAGATACTTACATATACAAACACACAGTGTATATATATATATATATTATATTACACACATCTCTTAATGAAGAATTTAAGTTCTGAGTAATGAAGTAAAATTTGTAAGCAGACATCTTCCAGTTCATTTGTCAAAATATTTGCTGTACATCTTATTACACATTGTAGACATTTACTTCAACCCACCATGAGCCCTACTAGATAAATAACAATATAATTTTTTCTTAATATCAAAATTAGACCTTTTAATAATGAAAATTAAAATTTAACATTTTATACAATAAATCATAGGGATAATGTTTATATAAAAATAATTATTGCTTTATTTTCTTAAGTGAAGTTTCATCATTTTAAAACAGGGCACATTAATTCTTTTAATCAATTTTGTTTGTTGAGAAATTATCAACTTATATTCACCAGTAGAGATTGTACGTGAAAACTTTCAAATTGCAAACTCATTTGATCACCTGACTATTACCAAGTTCCATCAGAGGGCTCCTCATGTTCAATTTGTTAAACATATTAAATACTTAATGTTATGTGCAATAAATTACATAGGCTTTTTTCTTCAAAATCACGAAAGTTAGAGGAGTAGTACCAACATAAGAGGAAGAAGTGTGTATTTTATATGATCTTTTTTTAAATTTATGAAAATATAAACATTTAAATGAATTACACGATAAATATGAACAATGTTTATCAAAAGCTGATTTGGTTAGCAAATTATGAAATAAAAACTATATACAGTACTGAAAATAATTATGGGGTTGCAAAATCTTTTTTGTATGAAAATAACTTCACAATATTACAGCCAGTCATTGATAGCTTAGACTCTGACTGGCTGTTGTTCAACCATATCGACAGTACTACAGCCTATAAAAGTAAAGGAAGTCACTATTATTCCCACCAGTAATGTCACACAAAAAATGAGTATGGATCTAAGTTTTGGCTGGTGAAGGTTACTCCATGTGACACAATGAGACACAAGTTTCTGTTTCATTAGAAGCTAAATGAAAACATTGAAGATGACATGTGAAACCAGTACTGTTGATATTAGAAGTCATTAAGATACAAAGTCCAAACTCTCCAAAAGTGCTGTTAAGTAACTCACGGTATACTCTTTATGCGAAACACAACACTCCAGTCAAGGTTTTTACAGTGACCTAGCTGTAATTACATAAAGTAATCCAAATGGACGTGTAGATGCTCAAAACCCACTGTTTTAGAGAGATAACTAAATCAAAAGGCTAAAATGGACATAAGACTTCAAACAATGTGATAATTAAAGTTGAAAGAGGGTGCTGTTTACAGATGAATCCAAATTCAAGTTTTTTGGCAACAATCAAACAGTAGTATTGAAAATCTAGACAAAATTGATGTCACTCTCACTGCTGACAGGTACAAAAAGATTCTTATCCATGACATCATTCCTTCAGGAAAAAAGATTTGTTGGAAAAGGATTCATCTTCATGCAGCATATGTAGAGAAACAACACTTAAAAGTTCAAAAAACACACAAACATGAAAGACTGATGGAACACTTGCAACCATAGTTTGGCCTGCACAAAGTCCTGATATGAATCTCATTAAGGCTTTATGGACACTTAGTACTTCAAATGGCAAACAACTTGGCTGAACTATGGGGAAATGATGTTTCGCAATCATACATTGACAAAATTACGGTAGCATAAAAACAATATGTATTGTTTTGTTTATAGCAAGTATAAAATATTAGTATGTTATACAACTAATTCACCTTTCCTTTGTATTTACAGTAATAATGTACTGTTCTTATAATAATTGACCATTTAGTTGCAGTTACTAAGTGTTTATGAACCCTATGCATTTCCACAATTATTTCCAATAACACAGCTATTATTAGTTCTCAGTCCCTGTAGTTGAAGAATAAATTTAAATTTAAAATATATTTATCAGGGAGGCAATAAACCAGTTCCAAGTATTATTGACCAATTGACACCATGTCTCTTTATGTTAACATTTACATTTAGACATTTCTTGCTGTTAATAAACGTTTTCTAACCAGAAACTTATTTAAGAAGTAATAAAGTTTGGAGACAGCTTCAATGGGTGATAAAGAAAACTTTATTATAACTTTATTATGTTATATCAAATTCATTTAAAAGTTTTCTTATTTACCCAATAAAAATGTCTCCAAACTATATTAGTCTCAAAGTGGGTTCCTCATTATCAAATCTGAAATATTTGAGAAGTATTTCAACTATATTATGGCTAAAAAAAATTACTGCACTCAAAATCTTTTATCTCATTCTTATGCATTCCACAAAATCAGAAATTTTTTGTTAAAAATTAAAGTGACGGGCCAGAATGTAAACTGTTAGGGGATACCTCAAAAATTGTTATTACGATAAGGAAAATACATTTACTATAATCTATTTCTATATGATAATTATTGGAATATAAGACTGATATTCTTTTATGTTTTAAGTAGGAGGTTTTTTTTTTTCACTGTCAGAACATTTCATAGATATAAAATAGACTAGCACTGAACTTAAATTCTATTTAAGTAATACCTTAACATGTCAACACAGCTTTTACAAGGTCAAAATGGAATAAGAAAAAACCATTAAAACTCAATGTTAGAAGTATGAATATCTTCTATACATCTTATCATTTTTAAAACAGTTTTATTTTCACTAGAATTTTCTTTGGCAGGCATTAAAATACACACCTACTTTCAAACGACTTAAGGGTGTGGTGCTAAACGCATATGAAACACTAACTTGCTTTTTCATATGCTGGAAGTTGATAACATTGTAAATATGGAGAACCAGCTCACTTTAGTGGGTTTTGAACTTACTACATCATTTTAATATTAAATAGAATTAAAGTGTGACAATGTATGATCCTGTAATGTAATTTTTTTCTTATAAATAACATAACTAAACTATATTCTTGCAACCAAAGAGAAAGACTATTAAGAAAAATATACAGAACTCAACTCTGCTGGGTTTCTGTAAATTATATTTTGTATATTTGATACAAACTTCCAAACAGCTGTTATGTCTATATCTATGATTGCAAAAATTAGTAACAAAGATGGTATGATTTCTTTGAGGTGCTACTATTTATTTTACTTTAATAATCACTCAAAATTCACTTTTACTAATAATAAAGGTCAATGCACAAACATGTTTTGAAGATTAACATTATATCGTGTTACAAAACAAAAAGCTTTACTTTGGAACACAATCATTAAAAATGCTAAGTGGAAATGCTTTTACAAAACTGGTTGCTGCTAGGTTATTAACATGCAATTAAATGTACCTGGACAGACTATAACAATGTATGTGTTTTTGACACGTAGAATGTTTCTTGCTGTCAGAAATATATTAGTTTCTGCCAATTCTAATGGGTTTACCACCTGCATAAAAATGAATACTGGAAAAGCTATTGCAAGCTATATGTAATGTTCTGATCTAGTGAAAATGATTATTGGTTGGTATTTAGAACACTACAGATTATGTTGGATGCTTTCAAAAAATGTTTACACATACAAGTAACACATTTAAGTAATTATTTTTTATGCCAGTTGTATTCTCAAATGAACTCCTATGAAATGAATATTGTGTTGAACAAAATCCATTTCTTATTAATAATATTTTTGTGACTGATTCTTATTAAATCATAGTGATGATTAATAATTTAATTTGGAAAAATAGTGTTTTACTATCCAATTTGTGATTCCTGTCAGTAGACTACAATTAGTATCAACTTCTGTTTTGGGTAAAGGTTACTTTCTTGTACAGTGTTTCAGCCATTTAGTACAAGTAAACAGCAATAGTTTAAACTAATTTATATAATATATAAAAAATTACAATATTAATTTCCCCACATTAATTACTAGGTGATCTGCTATACTAACATATCTTTACTTCATCTGTATTTGTTACAACTAAAAATTTAAGCTAGTAGCACTGATGTTAGGCACAGTATACACTTTCAATCAGTAGTTGATATATTGAAAAATAACTATCAAGCTTTTAGCTAAAACTACTTTACATAAAAGCATGATAAAATACAAAAAATAGATAAATATACACTATGAGATAAACTTGGATCATAATTCAAAAATAAATGATTACAATTCACTTTGAAAATGCTTCAACCATCAAACAGTAAAACAGTCCATACAATTCTGAGAGCAAAAATTTCGTTTTCTTTAATATTAAATGATAGAGATCAGAAAAATACTTAGTAATCCTTAAAATAAGAACATGCACAAAAACTGGATATATTTTTCTTTACAGTAACCTGAAAAAGAACTCTCAGCTGCTCAGCAGTAAGCTTGAGTACATATAATGTTAGAATTTTGGGTTTGGTTTGTGATGCTTTATACTAAGTCTAAGAACAAATAAAAAAAAATTGTGAATTATTTTCTTTAGCAACCAAATAATAACAATGATTTGTTAAAAAGAAAAAGCTTTGCTATGAGACTCCTAAAAGAAAACAAAGAAAAAAAGCAATAAATTTATCACACAGTTTTAAATTCTTAGTTAAAAAAAAGTTTCAGGTTTCAACTACTTGATTCAAGCTATGCAAAAAACAATTCATCTTTACACATTACAAAAAAAATCTTAAATGAGAAACAACATAACATCAGCACCATTTTTAATCAAATTAGTCTGGTACCTTTTTCAGATCAACATCTCTCTATATACTATACATTACATTTAAACAAAAAGTGCATTAGGTTACAATTTTGTCAGTTACCTGAAAAATGAGCAAAATTACAAATAAACAAAATTTTTAGTTTTATTAAGTAATTTCATTATGTAATTGTCAGTGTTTGGAAAGCTATTTTATAATGTTGCCACTATTTCTCACAATAATAATGACTTACAGTTGTATACACTTTCTACTTTGTTTGATGTATATTTCTAGATTATCAAACTAAAGTGATAAAGAATTACTTTAACATCATTATTTCTTTCAGTTCAATGATGCAGGGATATGTTAGGTACAACATACATAAAGAGATTTTCAAAATCACCATGCAGTGGAAGTAGCAATAACTACATAGTGTGAGACATTATCTACAGTCTGCTGACAAGTAATTCTGGTTCTTCATTATTGGTAGGCTCAACATGATAGCTTGTGTCCTGCAGAATGTATCCATCAAGGTATTTCTCCTGACCAAATGGTGTGTTGTTCAAAACACTGCTGTACCATAGATCAGTGGGACGAAATAGTTGAATGAATCGCTACAAAGAAAGCATTGAAATATATTATGAAAATCGAATAAATCAAAACTAAACAAATTTTCATTTGAATATACCATTAAAAAATAATTTATTCAAGACAAAAACCTCAGGCACAAATATCAGCTACTGAGCAAGATACATCACAAAATCTTTAAACTGAAAAAATTTGTAAATAAAACAGCAAAAAACTCAGTCCATACAGCACTTACAGTAACTACACTGAATGACCATTCCAACTACTATAAAACTATAACAAACAGCTAAAACAGAATGAGAACTAAATAACTGTTTAACAATAATACCCATTATAAAATATCTGGTTGATATTAATTCAGACAATGATGATGTACTAACAACAGCAAAGTGTCAGTCAGGTTCTCAGTAATATGTGCCAAAACAATATGTTATTTCTCCTCCCATAATAACAATTGTTTGTATTAATTTTTAAGAATTTACAAATGGGATGCCTCCAGCCATCTAGTTTCAATTTTGATCACTTTCTGCCATAATAAGAGCATGGACTTTGTGCTGTATAGATTTCAGAATGTGTTGGAGGGCATTTTATTTTATCGTATCCATCTGTTGAGTAACATGATTTAAAATTTGTTTACAGACATCAGCAGATTATTACAGTAGCCAGTGCCAGATTAACTTACTGAGGTAACCTTAGGCACAAAAAGAAATTGTTTGGCACAGGGCCTCGTGAGTATGTTGTCTGAAATCAGGGATGTTTATACCATCATTCTATTGAGTGGCTTTATTGATAATGCAAGCTATCTATGACAAAATAATTGATAAGATACTCAGATTTCACATTGATCAGATAATTATCAAGTTTTACTTTTAATAATGGTTAATAATTGTTTTTTAGCATTTTTTATTTTTAAGATATCAGCAGAATTTTTGCACACATCTAATTTTTATTTGCACATTTCTATATAAATTCATTACATTAGTAATATTTTATTATTTTTTACTTATTTTATATTGTTATATTTAAAGATATTATTCACACCAAAAAAAGGTTGTGTATACTCAACATTTTCATCACTATAGAAAGAGCTTTTATAGCCACAGTGCCATATGGTGAAATTCATGATGTTCATGTGATATGATGATGATTAAAATATGATGAAATTGTGAACTTCATTTGATCTCCTAGTGAATGAACATCATACGTCTCATCATAATGTTAAAAAATCAATAGTTCATTTCTTACTAAGTGACTTGTTTTCAATGGTTCAAAATTTTTAGTTCAATTTAATAGATTAATATAATATACATATAGTCATGAAAGCGTGTGGCCCCTAAATGCACAGGGCCCTAGGCCATGGCCTCATGTGCTTTATTTGTTAATCCAACCCTGACAGTAGTGAATGTAATGTTTAAGTCCATTCTAATGATGCTTAGATTGAAATTCAGAGATTATACTAGCCTAGGAATATAATTTAAATCAGTGTCATGGTCTCTAAATCAGTTTCAAGCAATATGAATGCAATGAATATTTGTATCACCATCTTTGAAGAGGTCTTGTACATAATGGTGAAAAAAAGACAATACTGTAAATGGAAATAATAGATAAATATGTTTTGGTACACTCTGTATGTTATTTACCTTCTAAAAGAATCAAAAAATCAAACATCCCATTCATTAGTACACCACCTTAGGCAGATGGAATTTTAAAGCCACACAAGCAAAATCAAGTGTTTCTTGTGGTTTACTCGACATTTTTATTTTACCCACAGTGCAGTAAATGGGTGACTTCTGAAATCTCATGCTTTCAGTCATTCACTGTTGACAGCTTGAGTTCTAAGTACTACTGAAGAAGAGATCTTGGATTTATCATTAGATACCATATGACAATTCTTTAATGTATTTCTCATTGTATAGTAGAATTGATTGATGGAAGATCTATTGCACTTTACACTTTATTCTTCATGCCTTACTGACAGATTTTCTTGGCTGATCATGTTCTACCTTTGTATATCCCTTAGACAACTTCATCTACAAAACCTATGAGTGTGAGGTGAGAACAGTTATAGTAGAGATAAATGTTTGTTGTTAAGCACAAAGCTACACAATGAACAATCTGTGCTGTACCTACCACTGGTATCAAAACTCAATTTTTTAGCATTATAAGCTCTCTGATGTACAGCTGAACCATGGGGGTAGAGATATAATGTTTCCCTATATTATATCTTACTATTAAAATCTTACTCTCAAATACAATACTGAACCTATACCATAAATCTTGAGCTAAAATTCACACACTGAAATGTACGTGTGGCCAGAGTAATAAGAGATGCATTTGTCAATCCTGTCTTGGTTCTTTAAACTGAGAAAAAAAAAAGAACTGTTATCATGAATAACTGACCTATACTATAATGTACAATATCTACCAGCTTTATATCATCTCTTTTTCTATAAAACCTTTAAAGTGACCAAAAAAGCAGTGACGTGGAACTCAAAGTAACATGCGGCTGAAGACAATGTTGCTGGCTCTCACCAAAGTGTTATAATCAAATGTCATCTGCCATGCTGTTTAAAACACCCCATTACTGTATTACAATTCCATTTGAGACAGATTTTCAAAGCTATTCATGTTCTTTGTTTTTATGGATCCCTTACGCAAATTTATAATGTCATTTTTTCTACACAAACTACTGATGTGAGGTGGGAATGCTTATAGTAGAGATATGCTACTCTTTGATTTATACCTTACTATAAAAATTTTACTTTTACAAGTTACAGAAACCACATAAAACATTGAATCGACACATGATAATCTAAGCTCAGAAGTTCCAAAGAAATTCTTTGAGTAGTACTGTTTCACTACAACTACCAGCTTAAAGCCAAGAATATTTTGAACATTTCCAACTCCCCAGATTGTGAGAAAAGTCATCTTGACCTTCTAAGATAAAGTCTCTTTCATCTTATTCATAAAATGTGGTTGGCATCAGTAGAATGCATGTCAGATTAATTGAAGAAAGAGTGTAGCAAAAAAACAAAAAGGATGGGACATTTTTCAAGAATGAAACCTTAAATCACATGTGGCTAAAGGTTCACAAGGTCTGGAAGATTATAAGGATTAGCATGTTTCTCTTCAAGACTTAAGATTCTGTCATAGCAGTGAGTGAAGAGGAGAATAAGTACCAGGGAAAGGAAAAATAGCCTAAGGAAAATCAAGTAATTCTGTAGAACAGAAGCAGGTAAACCAATGTTGGCAAACAGGTAGGAAAACAAATTAATGGTGGGGTTGAAAGATGATAAAGGGTACCTCCTATGTTGAGTATACCACACACTAAGATAAACAGTCAAGAAATACTGTATGAAGTGGCAATCCATCTACTGGACGAAATTCCTCTTCTTGATCAACATACGAGAAAAAAAAAATGTGAAGATATAACTGAGAAATTAGTGAATACCAAATCAAGTTTCTGGGCTGAAGTAGAAAAACAATGTTCTAGATAGCTAGTAAAATACTCATAAGTTTTTGATAGAGATGTGTCATTTTATATTTTACATGTATCAGTTCTGGATGTACTATCAATAATATGCTACAATATAAATAGGGTTGCCTTCTGGTTGTACAATGAGAAAATGGTTACTTTTCCACATAGATGCTTCCACTGTGCTTAAAAATAAAGGAAACCACAACTAGAAGTGTAACAATACATCAAACTATTGATAGATTGTTATTATGAACATCTTGATAGCAATGCAAACTTGATTATTTTACCCATTCTCTTCATTTTATTTAAGACTTTTCTTGGTAATTTCCCATTTTTTTTACTGGTTTTATGGTCTCTACTCACCTGTAAGTCTAAAAGCATGTGTATCACATCCACCATTAGCAGTGTTGCTCATACAATGGATAGAACCCATATTGGAGAATTAATGATTACTATAATTACTAATCATAAATTTGGCAATCTTTTAGTAAACATAAAAGTATGTTGTATACAAAGATCCAGATTTTTCTTAATAAAGTACTTGCATGAAACATGAATTTCATGATAGGTGTAACTGATTTTCATATTTTATTTGCATACTCCCTAAACCTCCTAAATGAACATCAAATTTTTTGCAGTAACATAAGATATTTTATCTGTAGATTTTTCAATGCATACAACATAGTTAATTCCAGGGTCAATAGATACATCAACCAAGAATAACCAAAAGACATGAAATATATTTACTAACATAGTTGTTTACTTTTTTGTATTGACCATGAAGTTGGAAATTACCCATATTTACAGATTAAACTTCTATTCCTTTATTAAATATTTTCTGTTTTGTTTTTAATTTTGCTGCATTGAGTACTAATCTCCCCCAACAATAAAACACAGTGTGAGCCATTACACTGTTTCTGGCAAATGTAACACCTTGCTCAATGTAGATGAGGAAAATAACAACACATATTCAATACACAAATATATAATTATATAGTAAAACAAAACTGGCCAATAAAGTAAAAATCTGTAACTAGCTTACTGGTATTTCGTCATATACAATGACATCACATAGTAATAATAATAAATCAGTTTAACTGACATTTAATTCTGTACAAATACATATATAGATGTAATACACACAAATGCAACTATACAGATAAATTTGTTGTCCAATACTATTGTAATAGTACTGCAATGGTCAAAATCTGCCTAAATAGTCACCCCTAACTACAACAAACATTTGGACAAATATCGTTCAACATTAGATGATCTGTTATCAGCCAATCAACAGTCAGCTTTGCAATGTAAGTGCCTTTATTCTGTGGATCGCATTACAGAATAAATTTTTCATGAAGAAGCTATTGTTTTTTTTTAATTACTAAAATAGAAATAATGTAAGTGCCAAGTTTAAGATCACCACATGATGAATAGGTTCAGAAAGTCTTATTTTCCTCCCTTATCATCAAATTTCAAATAGACCAGTGAGTCCAGGCTTTTTTACACTTTGCAAAGATGAATAAAATATTGAGCCAATCTTGTGAATAG